AACACTCCCATTTATCACTGCAACAAAAAGAATAAAATACCTAGGAATAAACCTACCTAAGGAGACAAAAGACCTGTATGCAGAAAACTATAAGACACTGATGAAAGAAATTAAAGATGTTACAAACAGATGGAGAGATATAACATGTTTTTGGATTGGAAGAATCCACATTGTGAAAATGACTATCCTACCCAAAGCAATCTACAGATTCAATGCAATCCATATCAAACTACCAATGGCATTTTTCATAGAACTAGAACAGAAAATTTCACAATTGGTATGGAAACACAAATGACCCCGAACAGCCAAAGCAATCTTGAGAAAGAAAAATGGAGTTGGAGGAATCAGGCTCCCTGACTTCAGACTATACTACAAAGCTACAGTAATCAAGACAGTACGGTACTGGCACAAAAACAGATATATAGATCAATGGAACAGTATAGAAATCCCAGAGATAAACCCACGCACATAATGTCACCTAATTTATGACAAAGGCAGCAAAAATATACAGTGGAGAAAAGACAGCCTCTTCAATAAATGGTGCTGGGAAAACTGGAAAGCTACATGTAAAAGAATGAAATTAGAACCCTCCCTAACACCATACACAAAAATAAACTCAAAATGGATTAAAGACCTAAATGTGAGGCCAGACACTATAAAACTCTTAGAGGAAAACAGGCAGAGCATTCTACGACATAAATCACAGCAAGATCCTTTTTGACCCACCTCCTAGAGGAATGGAAATAAAAACAAAAATAAACAAGTGGGACCTAATGAAACTTAAAAGCTTTTGCACAGCAAAGGAAAACATAAAAAAGATGAAAAGACAACACTCAGAATGGGAGAAGATATTTGCAAATGAAGCAACTGACAAAGGATTAATCTCCAAAATTTACAAGCAGCTCATGCGCTCAATATCAAAAAAACAAAAAACCCAATCCAAAAATGGGCAGAAGACCTAAATAGACATTTCTTCAAAGAAGATATACAGATTGCCAACAAACACATGAAAGGATGCTCAGCATCACTAATCATTAGAGAAATGCAAATCAAAACTACACTGAGGTATCACCTTACACCAGTCAGAATGGACATCATCAAAAAATCTACAAACATTAAATGCTGTGGATTAAATGGTGTGGAAAAAAGGGAACCCTCTTGCACTGTTGGTGGGAATGTAAATTGATACAGCCACTATGGAGAACAGTATGGAGGTTCCTTAAAAAACTACAAATAGAACTACCATATGACCCAGCAATCCCACTACTGGGCATATACCCTGAGAAAACGATAATTCAGAAAGAGTCATGTACCACAAGGTTCATTGCAGCACTATGTACATTAGCCAGGACATGGAAGCAACCTAAGTGTCCATCGACAGATGAATGGATAAAGAAGATGTGGCACATATGTACAATGGAATATTACTCAGCCATAAAAAGAAACGAAATTGAGTTATTTGTAGCTTACGTACATCTAACATCAAGAATATTCCCCTATTACCACAACTATCTTAGACAAAATAGTTATCATGTAAAAGAAATGTAAAACAGAGAAAACACTATTATCTAATATTCAATCCACACTCAAATTTCCCCAACCATCCCAATAATGTCTATTATAGTTACTCTTTCTCAATCAAGGATCACACATGGCATTTGGCTATCATATCTCCTTAGCCACCTTTCATCTGAAACAGTTGTAGGGGACGGGGATGTGTCTTTAATGACACTGACAGAATTAGGGAATGCAAGCCAGATGTTTTATGGGAATGTCCATCAATTTGGACTTGTCTGATTGTTTCCTCAGAGTTGGATTAGGCTAATTATTTTGGCAGACACTCCATCAAGGTGATGCTGTGACTTCCTAGTACATCACTAGGACACCTGATATCACTGCACCCATTATAGGCATTGGTAAGTGTGAGCATGGACTACTTGTGTGATCTCAAAGCTACAGTGTTTGAATGTGAATACTAAATCATTTACACACCTTGAATTTCCAACTGTTAACAACAGTTATTCAAAAAACAGTTATTCAAAAAACAGTTATTCAAAAAAAATCTTACTCCCCAAATCATATTTCAGTGCAGCTGTCTTTTATGTCTCTAATATAGTAACTCATTTTCGCATAAACCAGGAGATGCTAACTGCATTCTATAATAAAAGATCACATGGACCACAAACACTAAAGGCTTCACAAAGGAGGTGATTTTGCATTGCGTCTTGATACATAAATAGGATCTAGTCAGGAAGAGCAGAGAGAGAGAGTACCATATTCATAAGAAGTGTCATGAGAAAAGGCTTCATACATGACAGTGAATAACATCTGAGGACCTACGAATTGACTGTAATAATCCAGGCAAGAGATGAGGAAGACCGGCTCTACGCCTTACCTAGCGGCCAAGGAAATACAGACAAGTAGACAGAATGAAGAAAGTTGCCATATTCTCTGACAGCTCAACTAGGACAAGTGCATGTTTATGATGCCTTTACTGACATTGGTGGGTGGGAGTAGTCATTTAAGTCTAATTTTAATATGTTCAGTTAGAGGTGCTGGTACGACATCCAGATGGGGCTGTCCAATACACAGAACAAGAGGCCTGGAGTTCAGGAGAAAAAACTTGGTGAGAAGTGATGACTTGGGTCAATCCTGTAAAGAGTTGAGGTCATGAAAACAAACAAGAACGTGAGCGTAGAAAGGAAGCAGACAATAGATTTGAAGAGCAAACTCTGGAAGAACATTAACAGGATGGGGGAAGGGCACAGAAGGGTGGCAGTTCTGTTTCTTGTTGGGACCCCAACTAGTGCACTGGATTTTGGAAATGTTGATCTGAAGGTAATTGGAAGAGAGGAAGAAAGAATTTGACCAGACCTGTAGATTCAGGAATCATGAGTGTTTAACTATACATAGATAAGTATTTTTTTGGTCTAAAGATAACTCCGTTGTGTGTTTTTTTTCAACATCACCAAGAAATTAACTCAATTCTGATACTATTTACCTGGAGACAGTGTCAGATGGCCCAGGTCAAGGGCTCAGTCCCATTAAGACTGCCCCCACTTGAGATGTCAGTCTCAAGTCCAGATTGGTAGCTGTGCTTCTGACCAACTAGCTATAAATCAGAGGTTCCCAAGATCCCCTCCTTGGATTTGATTAATTTGCTAGAGTGGTTCACAGAACACAGAGAAACATTTGCTTATGCTTATCAGTTTTTTATAAAGAATATTATAAAGGATCCAGATGAACAGCCAGATGAAGAGGTATATAGGGCAGGGTATGTGGGAAGGGGCACAGAGCTTCCATGCTCTCTGGGTGCGCCACTCCCCTGGAATCTCCATGTGTTCACCAACCTGAAAACTCTCCAAACCATGTCCTTTTGGGTTTTTTATGGAGGCTTCATTACATAGGCATGATTGATGAAATCACTGACCATGGGTGATTGATTCAACTTCCAGCCCCTCTCCCTTCCCCAGGGGTCAGTGGGGTGGCACTTGAAAGTTCCAACTCTCTAATCACGAGGCTGGTACCCCTGGCAACCAGCTCCCATCCTTGGGGCTTTCCAAAAGTTGCCTCATTCAGGTGGGGCTGAAAGGAGCTTGTTATAAAGAACAAGATACTCCTTCACCTTTATAGAACTGGAGCTATTTCAGGAACTGATGACAAAAGACCAAATATTATAAGAAAAGATGCTCCCATTGTTCTTATCGCTTAGGAAATTCCAAGGGTTTTAGGTGCTCTCTGCCAGAAACAGACAAAGCCCAAATATATATTGCTTATTAAAAATCACAATAACAAACGAGTAAAGAAAATATAAGTGATATAGGAGTGGGTAAGTGAGGAACTATTAGTTGGAAAAGAGCAAGAAAAAGGAGGCATCATGGAAAGGACAAAATGGAAAGGAAATTCAAAGGAAAAGAGAAGAAAGAAGAGTCAAGGATATACATGGGAGTAAAGCAACAGAAATCCGCTGGTCTTCTTGAATCACATTGCCTGCCTGTCCCAAAGTAGAGGCAATAGGTAAAGAACAACACTTGATCTGCTGTAAGAATCCAACATAAAGTTAATGCATGTGTCTCAAACACTTAATTTTGCTAAAATTATTTACGATTCACACTTTAAATTAATGTTTCAAAAACCCTTTTCTCGGGCTTCCCTGGTGGCGCAGTGGTTGAGAGTCCGCCTGCCGATGCAGGGGACGTGGGTTCGTGCCCCGGTCCGGGAGGATCCCACATGCCGCGGAGCGGCTGGGCCCGTGAGCCATGGCTGCTGAGCCTGCGCGTCCAGAGCCTGGGCTCCGCAACGGGAGAGGCCACAGCAGTGAGAGGCCCGCGTACCGCAAAAAAAAAAAAAAAAAAAATTAGTGCTGAGTATTATGAAACATATCAAAGCATGAAAAAAATCCTGCATCTGACTACATGTGAACATTTGAGTTGTACTGGGTTTAGATGGGTAGGTTCAGAAGACCCAGGGATTTGCTCAAACAAGGCTCCAGACAACATTAGAATCACCTGTGTCCATTATGTCTTTAGAAAGTTGGCCTACAAATGTGGTACTTAAATGCAGGTGGATTTTTAAGATTGAAAACAGCAATTTATCATGAAAGTCCTGCTCGTTCAACATGAAATTTCTTTCTCTCTACCTCTTCTCCCCTTCATTCCAAAGGAATGCAGAGAAGAAATGAAATGAGAAAACCGTAATTACAATGGTCTTCCTCCCCTGGGGTCAGCCGAATTACCAGCCTCTCACCCCAAAACGAATTTACCTCTTTAAGAATGAATGTCATCCTTATCACTCATGGGAAAAATACAAAGATTAAGATGCCATTTAGGCATAACTGCAATCTTTCATTTTTAAGTGACCTCTCAGTTTAATGGCTTCAATGCGTTCTCATTCACGTGGAATATATACTGCAGGAGAAAACGGTAATAAATGGCACTGTCATGACCCTTAGGTTAGAGCAAAGGAATATTGGAAGATAAATCTCAATTCTGGATACTCACCAATCCTGCAATGGGGGTAGGCAATCTGTTGATCTTTTTAACAAGTCCTGGCTTTATAGCATTCAGCAACCTGTCATGAAAAAGGCAGAATGTCAAGTGAGACATAAAGCAAGATGGATCCCACAAATCACCTTTATCCAAGGCTACAACTAAACTGCTGAATAGGAAAAGCAGCGAATTTAAAGCATGTAGTAAATCTCAATAATCTATGAGTTTTCATGCATCCAAGTGAAGAGGTTTGCCAACACCAAGTTTGTCTGTGGCAGGTGAAGTTTTAGAATTTGGAAATGTTGGGAGAAAAGAACGGATGGAGGCTGGGAGGAGCTTCAGAGGAAAGGACAGAAACGTGAGCCGGATTGAGGCTGGGAGAGAAGTGTCTAGTTTTGAAGCCAGGTATTACTACACAGCAAGGCTCGTTCCCAATTCTCCTGGCTAAGGCAGGGGTCTCTCCAGGGATGCACTAAGTTCAGAGACCAACATCTATCTTTGCAAATGATTTGCCAAGACTAATTCTACTTCCAGACCCTCTTGCTCTTTGAGGAGAGTGGCTTGTTAAATGTGGTGAGCTTCACTTAAGAAAGGAAAGAATATGTTTAGCAGGAGGTTAACCAGTCATATCCTGAAGATTTTAGACAAGGCTGACCACAATTCCCTAGGTATAAAAGATATGTGAGCAAAACGTTTTTGGGGTAAAGGTTGAAATCACATAAAAATGGTAATACAAGCAAAGGAATGCAAGAGAAACAACCGTAACTGTTTGTCTTCAGGAAATGTCAGTTCAGAGTGAAAAGAAATAAGGAAGGCAACTTGTAAAACGAAAATAGGGCTGGCATCAGGGTGATGTGGTAGAATCGTAGCATTTGCCAACTAGGTTATTCATAAAGGAATTATTGAAGGTACAGGGTTGTCAAATGGAAGCATTTATTCTTATATTAGGGAATTAGAGGAGAGAAGATCAGGTAATTTATCTCAGGACACATGGCAAGAGAAACTTAGGCAGAGGCTTAGTATAATTCAGGGGTCAGCAAACTATGAGCCATGGACCAAATTTGGCCCAATGCCTGTTTCTGTAAACAAGTTTTACTGGAACACAGCCCTGTCCATTCATTTACATACTGTTTACTGCTGCTTTTGTGCTATGACAGCAGAGCTGAGTTACGTTACAACAGAGAACCTATAGCCCAAAAAGCAAACCATTTTTACTATTTGGCCCTTCACCAAAAAGTTTGCCAAACTCTGTTACCATTCATGCAATCTAAGGTTATAGTAAATTCTGAAGAACCTATGCTTGATAGATTTCTTCAAACCAGTAACAAAAGATTCTTTGAAATAGTTGAATAATTAATTAGTCTTGAATTCAGCCTATATTTTACTTTGACACCTCTATGTATTGATATATTGAGAAATGTCACTACAATGGTTACAACAGACAGGATATTTCTGGTTTTGCACTAAGAACTGCCTGTGCTTGGTCACTTTCACTGCAATTCCAAATGCTGCCACCAAGAGGTAACACCCAGTGTAGACACAAAACAAGTAGTGCCTTTTGGCCCATTGAGAGCCAAGATGGTGCTCCTTTCATGAATGCACTTAATTTTAACCATGAATTTATAATCTTCTTAAAAAGTGCTTTTTTATAGCTTATTTTGGAATTATTCATTTTTCAAGTTAGAAAGCAACTTGTTCACTCTTCTCATTTTACAGTTTAGAAAACTGAAGCCTGACGATGATGATCTGATTAATGGTACAGTCAGGCCCAGCTCCCAAGATCCCTGAATCAACACATTCTCTGGCAGGGTTAACATCCCATAGCACGTGATTCAAAATAAACAGATAGGTATGATGTCTCCAAAGCAGATTTTAAATGTACAAAATTCTTAACATACATTACTTTTCTCATTAGTTCTTAACAGTGTCGTTTTAAATAGTATTTGTGCACAGTTGTTGAAAAAGGTCCCTGCGTGGATATGACTGCCGGTTAACCCAAGCTGGCCCCAGGCAGTCGGAGTTACCCCACTCTCTCCCCTGTCCTAGGAATGTATGTTCTGCCCACTATTCCCACAGTGGGAGCCACTGTCAAGCATTCAGCCTTGAGACTTGAGTGTGCTGTTCAGACCGTCTGGACTGAATATCTACTGAACCCAGTTAAAGCATCTGTATAAACTTCTAAGATTCTGGTAAGATTCTCCTCACCTTTCAGCCGCCCAAGACAAGCATCATATGTAAGTTCTCTTGCTTATTAACCCTGCCACCTACAAATCTGGAGCTATCTGCCTCTTTCTTCGGGCTCTCCTTGCCTTCCGTGTCTGGGGACCAGATTTGAATTTCACGCTGGGAAATCCTGAGGTTGCCAACCAACAGTGTTGACAATTCAAAAGGAACCAAAAGGATATCCAGTAAAACTTAAGTTTCACTGTCACCAGGATCCCACGGGGCCCTAGACTATTCCTTGAAGGTAACCTTAAAGACTTCCAAAGAAAATGTATAAAGATATTTGTAATTTTTTAAAAAAAGACAGGTGTAGCATATAACGTGCACTGTCCTACATCGTATTTTTCCACTTAGCAATGCATAATGGAGATTAAACAATTTACACTGGAGAGCATGCCTTATCAACACGTGTGGACTTATGTCCTTCTTAATACCTGTGGACAAACTGATGAGGAGATGGGAGAGGGGAGTGACAGCATTGGCTCTGAAGTCCAACTGACTGAATCCAGAGTCCAGCTTGGTCACTCATCGGAGGAGTTACTTTGGGCAAGTCCATTAACACCAGTTTCCTCAACTGTCATAGAGAAACAATGGTAGCAATTGCATAGGTGTCAGTGAGGCTTACATGTGACAAAATATGTGAGACGCTAGCACAGAGCCCGGTGCATAATAAGTTCTCTATAAATGGTTCTCTACATCTGTGTATAAGCATTTATTTAAACTAATTCAATTCACAGCATTCTAGATCAACTACTTTCTCTAATACTTTTAGATTTTTCTAATGAAATAAAATACCATTATATCAGGTCCCTGAACTTTGTTTCTAATTATCCAAAGTAAAACAAAAATAACAAACACCCTACAAAAAAATGCATTAATTAAGAACCTTTTTTAAAAGAGGTACCCAGGGCTTCCCTGGTGGCGCAGTGGTTGGGAGTCCGCCTGCCGATGCAGGGGACACGGGTTCGTGCCCCGGTCCGGGAAGATCCCACGTGCCGCGGAGCGGCTGGGCCCGTGAGCCATGGCCGCTGGGCCTGCGCGTCCGGAGCCTGTGCTCCACAACGGGAGAGGCCACAACAGTGAGAGGCCCGTGTACCGCAAAAAAAAAAAAAAAAAAAAAAAAGAGGTACCCATTTTGTCTTCTATATCTAAGAATTGTATTATTTTTAGTAACAATGGATCCATCAACTCCTCTTTTATACATGTTTAGATTTTTAAACAGTTTTAAATGCTTCATTATATTCATCCTTTGTAGAATTATAATTATATGGCAGAATCTTTCCTGTCACATGAAGTTGTAAAAAAAAAATTATAATGATAGACCTTAATTAAAAGAGCAACCAAAAAAATTTACTATGATGTCTATCCAAATGTTTAACAACAAATTAAAAGATAAAATGCCACAGTGCTCTTAAATATTTGGGATATTTTCAAGATCAAGGCAGCTGTATTTTTTCATGTAAACATTGCCCCGGTTCCGTACACAGTTTACAGTACACGACAATAAAAGATAACATTGAATTCACATTGTAGAAATGCCCACCACCTGCTTATCTTGTATTCTGCATTAAACTGAGGGCATTTTTTGTATATATTAGAATCAGATAAGAAGTTCAACAAAACAGCTATAAGCATGAGTCAAGGATATTTTATTCACTTGAAATTTTATTAAAAACCACTGTTGCCCTCCTATCTATTAAAATATAAATATTTTCAATAAATATTTATTGATCACATGCTTTAAAGTAATGGTGATGATATTAATATTTTATTACTTATGAACCTTCTGAAATGCATTGTTCCCCCACTCTCCTGTCCTGCAGAGACAGGTCATGTATTCACTCCACCATTTTTATAGAAGAAAAGCTTGAGCCCCAAACAGGTGTGAAGCCTTCCCCAGAGACATGCACAGCTAGTTGGCAGCCCAGTTTGGAAAGCCTCCTGCAGCTTGGTGCTTTAGAAAGTCCAGCTTCAGTATGTAGCATCAAAGCACAAAACAATAACAACAACAAACTGCAGAAAACAAACAAAACCCAAAAACCCAATAAAAAAAACTATCTAAATACAATGTGAGAATATTAACACTAGGTGGGAATAAAAGGAAAACGGAAGCGGGTGTCTGCTGGGAAATGGTCACGTTTCATCTGTGGATGACATACAACATCCTCAGCAGGAATTCCAGAGAAAAGGAGGCGGTCACTCACTTGTGGCAACTCCCCACTTAGCAGAACCCCACACCGGTTTCCCACCTGTGAGCCCCAAAACCTATAGCTAGAAGGAGAACAGTCTGCCCTCTCTGTCTGGTAACAGATTAAATTTGTACTCATCTAAAGACATTTCTGGGACATTGGCATAATTTTAGATAACAAAAAAACACTGGTGTCATTCCATGTCTCCTGCCTAAATTTACCCACAAAATAAAGATAATTTAAAAACTGGAGATATGAGAGCTAATTAGGATGAACTAATATCCAGATATTTATTTATCCAGCAATTATTTATCAAGTGCCTGCCGTGTGTTGCACACTGCTCTAGACCCAGGGAAGGCAGTAGTGGAGAAGACAAATGAAAGACCTGCCCTTTAGAACTTATCTCCTTAGAACAAATGAGTATGTGGGGCAGTGGGAGGAACAGAAAGTAAACAAGTAAATAAATGAGAGGAAAATTTCAGATTGCATAAGCACTGGGAAGACAAGCACTGTAACCCATGCGGGTGGTACTTGAATCAGGTGATCAGAAGGCTGCTCTGGGGAGGTAACATTTGGGGAAGAAATGGGAAGATACAAAAGTATTAGCCAAAGAGAGACTGGAGACAAGAGTTCCAGGCAGAATGAACAGTAAGTAGAAAGGCCTGGAGAC